CGACCAGACTGCCCCCTTTAATGCCTCACTATCACTGCCTTCTGCCCCCAAAGCCAGTCGGGGCTCCTCTGAGCTCTGCTGCTGGGCGGGGCAGGGCCCTCCTCCCCCCGGGGGCAGCCCGCTGTGGACCCACGCCTGTGACATCAGGTTCCCAGAGGCCAAGGACCTTGGTCCCTCCTGTCCGCACACTGCTGGGAGCAGCCCCGGCCCTCGAGGAGCGTCCGCTGCCCATCCCCCAGAAGTCCAGGCACGGGGCGGCCTGCAGGGGCTTCGTCAGGTGGAAGGGCCCTGCCTGAGACATTTGAGGCCTCGGAGACTTGGTGTTCTCACGACAGAACTCTCCTGTCCCCGGGAACTGCGAGTTCGGCAAAGTCTCTCACGAAATCTGTCCCAGCAGCAGAAACTGGCTGGGTGTCAGGCCCAGTCGGTGAATCTGCCATGAGTGGAGCAACCGCTAACCTCCCTTTCTGCCTCTGATTGCACTGGGGGGCGTGCTGCGGGGAGGTGCAGACTGGGGGGCCTGGGGTCTCGAGGCCCCAGGGCTGGCTCTGGCCCCGCAGTGTCAGGGTGGCTCCTGCTGTGCTTGGTGACCACTCGCACAACTGGGAGGTCTCTAGGGATGCGTCTGGGACTCCGTCTTGGCCGGCATCTACACGGAGGGCGAGAGGACAGGCTGGCCACAGTGACCATGATCGGGAGCTTGGAGGAGGAGCCGACGAAACGGGGGAGACCCAGCAGTGTCCCGACAGGCTGGAGCGGAGAGGCCGTCGAACGGTCCCCTGGAATGTGGGCTCCGCGAGGGCGGGGCTGCGTGTGTCTGCGTTGTGCAATCCTGAGCCCCCCGAGCAGTGCCCGGCCCGGGGCGGGTGCTCAGCAAACACTAGGGGAAGGTGCACGAAGCCGGCCAGGTTTAAACCTTTGGTCCTGTGCTTGATCTACGAGGAGCCGATGCGTGTGGCTTAGCAGCCACATTTACAAACCCTTGCAGGTCCTCGTGAACACTAGCTCGAAATTAGGGTGTGATGAGTCCCCAGACCAGCCAGTCTTAGGGTACATCATGGGTGTGTGGTGGTTAGAAGGCTGGAGGAGTTGATTCGAACCATCTACGTGACTACAGAGTCTACCTGCAAGAGGCTGGGAGGACAGGAGGGGCCTGGCCTGGAGAAGAGGCTCAGAGGTGTTCTGGAAAGTTCCAGGGAGAAGCATGGGACCTGGGCAGAAGCGACCAGGGGAAATTCGTGGACCGATTCCAGCAGCTAGAAAGTTGTCTGAAAGGGAAGGGGTCAGGGATGCCCAGTGGTGTGGGGCTCAGCCCCAAATGGGAGGCCGCCTGCAGTGAGATTTCGGGACCTTCCCAGGCATGGCCGTGGGGTATAGGTCGGCAGCCCCACACGCCCAGGATGTGGCCCTTGACTCCTCGGATTTGGACTTGGGGTCCAGGAGCCCTGCAGTGACAACACAGGAAACCCACTGGGAGCTCCCTGCCGGTCTGCCCAGGGACCAAGTCACCTGCCCCTCCAGAGAGCGGTTCCCTGGAGCAGACGGTTTACTTCTCTTCACAGCAGGGGATGTCCCAGTGCAAGGAGCCACTTATCTATTATTCCAGTTTACCTGAAGTTTTCCCAAAGTTTTGAAGGATTTTGTCCAGAATTGACAGTTTTTTATATTGCTCGTTTTGTAAATTCTTCTTTCCTGGGGGAGAAAAGAAGTACAATGATCAAGATTTGGTCAGTCATGAAGGCGCGATCCCAAACTTCCCTTTCCAACCTCAGAGGTTTTCAGGGAGCCCAGAAGCTAGTGTGTGTGGCTCATGGGGACTGGTGGAGACATGTGTCGTCAACTTTCTCTGTTTCCTCCTTCTCCACTGAGGATGAGCTTGCACGGTTCCCTCTGGTCCCTTGGATGCTGTCCTTGCATCTGGGCACATATTTTCGAATGGGCACATATTTTCGAAGACATTTCACTCCTCAAAAGGATGAACCCCGACCCCCCTGTCCAGGCCTTTTTACCAATGAATATTGTGTGGGGGTCTCACAATATTGTGTGGGGTCTCAGCGCTGGGGAGAGGGGCAGATTTTGGGTCCATGGGGTGGGTCCTGGGTAGACGCTGGCCCCATGGAGCGGGGTGGGAGAGGACCCATGCAAAGCAGCACCCAGTGTGTGAGGTTCCTTTTCTTGGGATGTAACCATAGCTGTGGCCTACAGGGTGCTCTCGCCCTTCTCCTTCCCGACCTTCCCTACTTTCAAGGTGTATCCAGGAGATCCGCTCCCCTGAAGTTCTCCCAAAACTCCATTTAACACAGCCAGGATGCTTAAGAAAATCCTTAACTTTAGCAAGTTTATCTTGGTCCCACATGTGTGTCCCGAGTTGTTTCTGGCTGGTCTGCGTCTCCCACTGCTCTGCGGGTGTTCAGAGAAGAGCCACCCCTCACCTACCGGGAAGAACCCAGCAGGTCCTCAGAAGGCACTCATTGAGTGAGTGAGTGAGTCTTTTGTCAAGGCTAATGCCAATAGGAAATTAATGATTATGGCACCGAATGACATGTGTCCTATGGGACACTTAGCTGGTAACCCAAAGTTCAGGCACACTCTAGACGTCAGGAGTGGCGCTTTGGGTCGAGAAGTCTTTTCAGACCCTCTGGAAATCACACAGGTGGTTGGTTATTCCAGCAACGAGAGAGGGAAACTCTCTGCAGAGGCTTCAAGCTGCTTTAGGCTGTTAGGATAGTACTCTCAAGTATTTTAAGGCAACAAATTCATATTTGTAATAAGTATTATAAGATCATGGTAGAACTTTAAAATTTGAAGGAGCGTGTCTGCAGAAAGGAAGGCCATTTCCGACAGTGGACCCCGCACTTCCAGCTTTCTCCTGGAGGTCACGGTTGCCCTCCGTTTCTGTGTATCCCAGTGGAAATCCATACCACGAAGATTGTTGCCAACATCATACTCTCATATGACATACATCATAATGTTTGAGGCCACGTTTACATTTTTGTTTTAGAGGAAATTGCTTAGGAAAATTTGGCAGACAATTTAGGCTGACTGACTTATGGAAACATGTAATTCATCAATAAGCATAAAAATTTTGCATCTTAATTTTGCTTATTTGTGGAGTATAATCTATAGCCTTTAGGATTTCACATACAATGGTAACATCTACACCGTCCCTATGGGGGTGTGGTTCCATTTGAACATCCATGCATCCAATGAGGCTTGTGGGAAATGTTCACTTTCCATTTGCAGTTGAGACCCCAGTGAGGCATAGCAGCTTTGTGTAAGGTCACTGAGATGGTGGGAGGCCCTTCTGGGAAAGAATCCTTCCAGGCTGTCCTGAAGCTTCTGAGAGAGTTGAAATCCTGGGCTTTCATAGCTACAGCGTTCCCCATGGAAGCCCATGGGTGAAAGTGCACTACTTGAACTTTCATGCCTGGAAAAGATGGAGTAGCAAGGACCAGATTCATCCTCCCAGTTTAATTTGAAAACCAGAAAAGAATACATGAAACAATGATTGCCCACAGATCAGACAACAGACAGCCAGGGACAGTGATCCCTGAGAAGGGAAATCGACACGGGGCTCCTCACGATCGCTCCTGCTCCTGCCTGGAGAGTTTCATTGGCATGATGAGTGAGGACACAGGCAGAGCCCTGCGGTCTCGCCAGGAGATGAAACTGGGAGAGGCCAAAACAGCAAGTGAGGTCAGAGAACTGGGAGACCTGCAGAAGGTTGCCCTGAGTCTCCAGCTGAGTATGGGTCATTGAGAAACGATGGGAAGCTGGGGATGAGAAAAGAACCCCCCCAAAGGGCAACAGAACAATTTCCAGAGCTCACACAGGCCAGAAACAGACGGCTTCCCCACTGGAACACATAAAAAGCCTCGTTATACACAAGGCACAGGGGAGGGTACTCTGAGTTTTATGGCCTCAGCATCAGGGAACGTTAGCCTGGGAGTGAGTGCTGCCTGGTCTTACCTAACAAAGCTTAAATGCGAACCTCAAAAGGATCAACCCTTTCAAAGTCATTTAACTGGTTCAAGAGCAAAGCTTGCCAGTATTTTAAAAATGCAATATGCAACACTCAACAAAAATGAAATTTATAGTATATGGCATCCAAACAACAATGAGCAGGCATGAAAACAAGCAATAAAGTATGGTCTATAAGAACATGACCTAAAACGAGAAGAATTAATCAATCAAAACCGACGTAGAAATGACATACTTGATAGAATTAGAAGGCAAGGATATTAAAGTTCCTCCTAACACCATATCCCATATGGTCAAGAAGCATAAATTCTCAGATTACATTAAAAAGCAACACCTAACTGTACAACACCTAACTGGCCTACAAAATTCCCCTTTATTTTATTATTTTTAAATTTTTTTTTATTTATTTATTTGACAGACAGAGATCACAACTAGGCAGAGAGGCAGGCAGAGAGAGAGAGGAGGAAGCAGGCTCCCCACGGAGCAGAGAGCCCGATGTGGGGCTCGATCCCAGGACTCTGAGATCATGACCTGAGCTGAAGGCAGAGGCTTTAACCCACTGAGCCACCCAGGCGCCCCCAAAATTCCCCTTTAAATATAAAGCACAAGTAGGTTAAAAATAAAATGACGGAAAAGATCACCCAGGTGAATACTAATCAAAAGAAAGCAAGAGGGGCTACTTAAATTTTAGACAAAAATCATTTCTTAATGTTAAAGCAGTAATTCACCAAGAAGATATAACAATTCCATATTTTTATGCATGCAAATGAAATGCAATGAAAGAGATTCAAAGTACATGAAATGAACATTGGTAAAACCAAAAGATAGGGTGAACAAATCCACAATTACAATTTCAATTCTTCTTTCTTTCTTTCTTTCTCTTTCTTTCTTTCTTTCTTTCTTTCTTTTCTTCTTCTTCTTCTTCTTCTTCTTCTTCTTCTTCTTCTTTTTTAATCAGTATAGCTTCTATTGCCTCTTTAAAATATCACAAATAAGTCTCAAAAATCATCCGGCTTCTCGCTGTTTCTGCAGATGGACGACTCAGATCTTATTCATCAGCCTGCTGAACTGTTCTTTTTCAGAAACGTAGATACCATCCAAAAATTTTTGATATCCTTGTTTTTTTTTTAATTTCTTTTCAGCACAACAGTATTCATTGTTTTTGCACCACACCCAGTGCTCCATGCAATCCGTGCCCTCTCTAATACCCACCACCTGGTTCCCCCAACCTCCCACCCCCCGCCCCTTCAAAACCCTCAGATTGTTTTTCAGAGTCCATAGTCTCTCATGGTTCACCTCCCCTTCCAATTTCCCTCAACTCCCTTCTCCTCTCCATCTCCCCTTGTCCTCCATGCTATTTGTTATGCTCCACAAATAAGTGAAACCATATGATAATTGACTCTCTCTGCTTGACTTATTTCACTCAGCATAATCTCTTCCAGTCCCGTCCATGTTGCTACAAAAGTTGGGTATTCATCCTTTCTGATGGAGGCATCATACTCCATAGTGTATATGGACCACATCTTCCTTATCCATTCGTCCGTGGAAGGGCATCTTGGGTCTTTCCACAGTTTGGCGACCGTGGCCATTGCTGCTATAAACATTGGGGTACAGATGGCCCTTCTTTTCACTACATCTGTATCTTTGGGGTAAATACCCAGTAGTGCAATTGCAGGGTCATAGGGAAGCTCTATTTTTAATTTCTTGAGGAATCTCCACACTGTTCTCCAAAGAGGCTGCACCAACTTGCATTCCCACCAACAGTGTAAAAGGGTTCCCCTTTCTCCACATCCCCTCCAACACATGTTGTTTCCTGTCTTGCTAATTTTGGCCATTCTAACTGGTGTAAGGTGATATCTCAATGTGGTTTTAATTTGAATCTCCCTGATGGCTAGTGATGATGAACATTTTTTCATGTGTCTGATAGCCATTTGTATGTCTTCATTGGAGAAGTGTCTGTTCATATCTTCTGCCCATTTTTTAATATGATTGTCTGTTTTGTGTGTGTTGAGTTTGAGGGGTTCTTTATAGATCCTGGATATCAACCTTTTGTCTGTACTGTCATTTGCAAATATCTTCTCCCATTCTGTGGGTTGCCTCTTTGTTTTCTTGACTGTTTCCTTTGCTGTGCAGAAGCTTTTGATTTTGATGAAGTCCCAAAAGTTTATTTTCGCTTTTGTTTCCTTTGCCTTTGGAGACTTATCTTGAAAGAAGTTGCTGTGGCTGATATCGAAGAGGTTACTGCCTATGTTCTCCTCTAAGATTCTGATGGATTCCTGTCTCACATTGAGGTCTTTTATCCATTTTGAGTTTATCTTTGTGTACGGTGTAAGAGAATGGTCGAGTTTCATTCTTCTACATATAGCTGTCCAGTTTTCCCAGCACCATTTATTGAAGAGACTTTTTTCTACCGTGTATTGATATCCTTGTTTTTAACAGTTATGGCTTGCTGAATCAAAGCAGCTGAGTTCGATACAAGTTCAATGTCATTTCCTTCAAGAATTAACTCATCTTTTTGGGCTTGAGATACAGAACAAGCAACACCTGGCCTCATCTGAACCCTGCGGATGTATTTTTCACCCAAGAAATTTCGAATTTCAACAAGAGAACCATTCTTCTGAATAACAACGTTGATGGGGAAGTGAGCATACACAGCCCTCATCTTGTGTTGGAAGCCCAGTGTAACGCCCTTGATCATGTTCTGTAGGTGACTACAGATGGTGCGAACCGTAGCCAGTTCTTTTCTATTCCCCCACCATTTGTCCACTCGGAGCCTCTTCTTTCTCTTTCCAAGAAGACTGAGTTCTACGTTGATGTGATTGAAGTCCCTTCGCACGGTTCCTCTGGGGCCCTTCATTATAACTGTGCATCCCTTCAGGGTGATGTCGACATTTTCTGGAATGTCGACAGTCTGATTGCTGAGAATGGTCTTTATCCTCACAGTAGATGTGGCAAAGAGAGCTCAATTCTGCTTTCTTAATAATTGAGTAAACAAGGAGACAGAAGTTCAATAAAGATGTAGAATACTTGAACATGGTGGTTCGCTGACTTGATCTAATTGACATTTACAAAACACTCCACAAATCAACAACGTATACACATTCTTTTCAAGTGCACATGGAATACTTGCTAAAGTACAATATATTCTGGGCTATATTGAAAGTTTTTAAAAATGCATTAAAAATATCCAAGGCATATAATATGTGTTTTCTGACCAAAATGGGATTGAATCATAAATCAATAATAGAGAGGTATTGGAAAAGACTCCAAATATTTGAAAATGAAACAGCACATTTCTAAATGGTCTGTGGGTCAAGAAACAAATTTAAAAAGAGAGTTATAAAGCATTTTGAACGGACTGAAAGTAAAAGCATCATATATTGAAATTTGTAAGATGAGATTAAAGTAGAGCTAAAAGGAACCAAATGTTCATAATAAAAAAAGAAGAAAAGCCTCAAATCTATGACCTAAATATTTACATTAACCAGTCACTTAAAAAAAGAGAGAAAAAAATTCAAAGTAAGCAGAGAGAAAAATAATAAACTTAAGAGAGGACATGACAATCATATAAAATAGAGAAACAATACAGAAAAATGAAACCAAAAGCCTGGTTCTCTGGGCAGATCAATAAAATTGATAAGCTACTAATTAGACTACGAGGGACAAAGAAGAGCACAAATTACTAACATAAAGAATGAGAGAATTGACATCACTATAGTTCCTGCAAACATTAAAAAGGGTAATAAGAGACTGTCGTGCTGCTATTTAGATGAAATGAGCAAATTCCTCTAAAGATGCCAACTACCAGAGCTCACTAACCCTTTCTCTGTAGGAGAAATAAAATGTGTATTTAAAAAATCTTTCCACAGAGAAAATACAGGCCCTCATGTCTTCATTGGTAAATTCTACCAACATCTTGTGTAGAGGTAATGTCCATTTCATATAGACATATCCAGAGAATCGAAGGAAAGGGAATACTTCCCAACTCCTTCTGTGAGGCTGTTATTATCTTGAAACCAAAACTAGACCAAAGCATCAGAGAAGAAAAATCCGCACCCCAACATCACTCATGAACAGAGACGCCAAAATTCTTAATTAAATTTTGCAAATTGCATCCAAAATACATAAAAAGGAAAATGTCTCATGGGTTTATCTTGAAAATACAGGTCTAGTTCAGCACTAGAGAGTCAAGACATGTAATTCACCACAGGAACAGAATAGAGAGAACCGATGGACCATTTCAGTAGATCAGGGGTCGGCAAGCTATGGCTTTCAGTCCAAATACGGATCAGCACTGGCTTCAGGAAATCCAGTTTTATTGGGATATAGCCACACCCATTCTTTTATGTATTGTCTTTGGCTACTTTTGGGCTACAATGGCTGAGGTAAGTATTTGCAACTGGGAATTAAAGACTAAAATATTTACTATCTTTTTACAGAAAAATTTCTCTATGCCCACAATAGATACACCTAAGTTTGCAAGAACGTCCATTCTTACCATTCGCACTTCTCCTTCAACATTTTACTGCAGCTAGTGGAGTAAGACAAGAAAAATGAATAAAAGGTGTACCTATTGGAAAGGAAAGAAATATCCATTTGCAGATGATATAATTCATTATATAGTAAGTCCCCGAGGATCTACAGGGAAGCTTCCAGAACTGAAGAGTGAGGGGAGCAAAGTGGCAGGGTGCAGTCTTTCACGAAAAAAACCACATTTCTATACACGAGAAATGAATAACTGGAAGTCAAAATTTAAAGAGCAGTATCATTTATGATAACATCAAGAATATGAAATATTTATGTATAAATCTAATAAAATATATGCAAGGTCTTTATGGCGCGCACTACAAAACATGGTGAGAGAAACTGAAGGGGACCTAAGTAAATGGCATCATTCATGTCTATTTGAGAGAAAGAGAGAACTAGCAGGAGGAGGGGCAGAAGGAGGGGGCAAGCCGACTCCCCACCGAGTGGGGGGCCCACCACAGGGCTCTGTCCCAGGACCGTGAGATCATGAACTGAGCTGAGGTCAGATGCTTAACCGACTGAGCCACCCAGGTGCCCCAAATGGCACCTTCCATAGAGTGGAAGGCTGAATACAGTCCAAAAGTCAGTGCTGTCAAACTGATCTATACATCTGTGGCAATCCCAGCCAAAGTCCCAAGAAAATTTTCGGCAGAAATTAACTGTCTTTAGAACTTATATGAGAAGACAAAGAAACCAGAGGAACCTACTTGATTTTGAAAATCAGAACAAAGTGGGAGGATTCACGTTACCTGATTCCAGATTTTGGTATCAATATGTAGTGACCAAGACAATGTGTTATCTAGAGAAAAGCAGATCCCTGGTCAGTGGAACCAAACAGACCCCAGGAAGCGGCCCACAGGTATAAGATCAACGGATTGTCAACCTCCGTGCCAAGGCAGTTCAACAGAGGGAGGGGGTTCCTTCAACAATGGTGCTGGAACAGCTGGACCTCAGTCATGCGAGAAATCGAACCAAACAAAATAATCCTGACCTTACACCATATATACAAACTAACTCAAAATGGATTACAGCCCGAAATGTAAGCCCTACAGCTCCCAAGTTTCTAGAAAAGAACATAGAAAATGTTTGCGACTTCGAAGTAGGCAAAGATTTCTTATATTTGATTCCAAAAATGAAAAGTGATCAGTTGAGTTGGACTAGTATTAGGAACCCCTGATCTCTGAAGGACACCACTGTGCAATGGGGAGCCAGCCCCATCCCGGGGGACAATCTTCCCAGTCACGCGTCTGACAAGGGACTCGTATCCAGAACATGGAAATACCTCTCCAAACTCAACAGTAAGAAAACAAACTCATGAAAATGGGCAAAATATTTTGAAAAGACACCAGACCAAAAAAGGTATTCAGATGGTAAATGAACACATAAAATATGCTCGATGGTCTGAACCACTGGGGAAGCGCAGATCACCACCACTGTCAGTGCTCAGGGTGACCCAGGGCAACTCTCTGATTCGGGAACGCGAGACCCTGTCGGCAGTTTCTTGTGAAGTAAAACGTGGCGGCCACACCTCTGGCCTTTTGCCCGAATGACAGGAACACTTACAGTCACCCCAAACCTTGTATGCAAATGTTTCCAGGGGCTTTTCTGTGATTCCTGAACCTGGACACAAGCCGGTGTCATCCAGCAGGCGCTTGAGGAGTAAACCGGCGCGACCACAACGGAGCCCGCTCAGCCACGGAGGGAGCGGAAGACCGATGGGCTGATGTGCGCGAGTCTCAAATGCGCTGTGCGGCTGAGGGAACCAGGCTCAAAAGTCTACGCAGTGTTCGTGGTATTTAACGTTCCGGAAAAGGGAAAACGACAGAACAGGACACGAGTGAGTGTTTGCTAGGGCTGGAGGTGGTGGGAGAGGCTGAGTAGAGAGCATGGGCTTGTGGGGTGATGTGTGTCTTCTGTGTCATGTTTGTGGTGATGGTTGTGTGAGTTTGTAACGAGGACGATTTCACAGAGGGCCTGTATCTTACCAAAGCACAGGAGGTCGAGTGGGAACGCCTAACCTGACTTACGAATCAGGATCTGCCCTAAGTCCTTCCCTTTGTCACCCAATTGACTCATCCCACCGCTTAAGGGGCTGTGACCCTGGCTCACGGATGATGAACTGTTAAGTTCAGAGAGGGGAGGTCACTTCTATGAGATCACGCAGCCAAGAAGAGGGGGAGCCAGGGTCTTACGGGATCCTAGCCTCTGCCCTGCATGGTGTCCTGCGTTCCCATGCCTCACAGAAACTTGTCCATTCATACCCCCCTTCAGCCGAGTAAGATGCCAGGAGGGTTAGCTGGTTTCCCAGTGGAAGGTGACAGATACCGGTAAGAACCTGGGTTAAGATCAAGCTGAAAGTGATCATGTATCAAAGAAAGGTCCTGTTACAGGATCGGTGGCCTCCTGCCGCTCAGCAGCCCGAGAGAACCCTTCCAGCCCAGGAAGGAGAGCCAGTGAGTTTCCTAGAGGTGCCTGCTCTGGTGGCCAGAATTTCACGTTAGAGATTCATTCCTTGGAGCCTACTCTAAACCCTCTTTGCCTCACAATCCCGAGGCATGGCTCGGAGGATGATGTTACGTTGACTATACGTTTACGTCTTTGGGGAGGTCAGTGGTGGAGCTCAGTGTACCCCACGGACAAGGAGTCCAAAACATGTGGGTCGCTCGGCGTGTGGAACAAAGGCACTCAAGACCAGCCCTCTGCGAGCCTGTCCGTGTGCCTGTCTGGGGCAGAGGCTGGAGCTCAGGGAACCCCTCCGGGGGGGAAGCCCCCACCTGTGGCAACAGGAGCAGGAAGTGCTCCTGCTCCCAGCAGCGGAGCCTGGGTTGAGGGCCGAGCACGGAGAGGAGGGAAGCCTGAGGGGCGCCCCAGCTGCGCTGAGCCCCAGGGGCCCCTAAAAGTGTCCCAGGGCCTGGCGTTGGACCATTTTTGACCTGCACCATCCTTTCTAATGGCTCAGCCTAATCCATTAGTCCTCAGGGAGGTGTTACAACTATTCCTTCCATCTAATTTGGAAGGCCCCAGGTCCCCAAACCGCTGCTGGCCAGAGACAAAGACGATGACTGTTTTCCAAGGTGACTATTTGTCTACAGACAATATGGGTTGACTTCTAGCCTGGTTCAGATGAATCATTGCCAGCTCTGGGGGTCTCCGACGATGGACGAGCAAAACCCACTTTGTACTTAAGTCAGTGCTGAAGGGAAGAGAACATCAGGAAAACGGACTACCTGACAGCTCTTGGGTGGAGATGGTTTTCCACAGGACAGGAGAAAGTTCTAGATAAATCGGCACACAAAGGCTGGGGAGGGCCATGCCTGCGGGGGTAGCCAAGCTCTGCGGGGCTCTGGGGCTTCTAGTCCCCACCCTGGGGGGCCCCCCCGGGGGAGGCAGGAAGTGTCCCCTGCTGGCTTCTTAGATGGAAATCACTTCCTGCAGTGAGCACCTGAAAGGGAAATCACTACCTCATTGTTCTCCCTGGCAACGTTTCCAGCCCATTGACAGAGCAGGTGGGATCTGCCAAGCGAAAGACAGGAAGGGCGGAGGCAGGGGTGCTGGGCCGCTCACAGAGCTGGAAAAAGCAAGAACTAGTCAGCAGAGCTGGTCTGGACGGCTCTGGGCGACTGTGGGAAACCCAGGCTTCTCTAGCTGCCCGGGACACAGGAATCACTCCCATCAGGGGTCCGGAGCAAGTCCTGTGGCCCACACCCCAGGGCCCACTAGGGCGAGAGCCTGGGTCTCCAGGCCTCACAGCCCCCATCTGTGAAATGGGCCTGACGCGGGGCTGCTGTGAGGCTGATGGCGTGATTCAGATGTGACAGTGCTGGGCACGTGGCGAGAGCATCACCGTCACCGCAATGCTCATCACGGTCATGGACGAACAGTTAGTCTTCATGAGCCGGATCCAAGGCCCACGGGGGCACCGGGAACGAGGCTTCCTGGAGGGGCTCACGGTCCAGTGGACGTCACAACACCCAGTGTGGCCACGGTCTGTCCCCTTCCACAGACGCATGTGGGGGGGGATTAGGGTGAGTGCCGCAGGGAGGGGACAAGCAAGCCTCGAGGAGATGACGTGCAGAAGCCCTGCGGGTCCCTCCGGGTCCTCCTGAGGAAGAATCGAAGTTACTCATGTGAAGAAGCAGTTTCTCAGGTCCGGAGGCTGTCTGAGACCGGAAGCTCTCCCTCCCAGACGAGGTGCATGTCTGCACATGGATCAGTGTGCCCGCCCCTGCCTCGCCGGCGTCTAGTGACCACGGCCGCGTCTTCCCCCACCAGCTCGCTCTGTGGAGGGGGCTGGGTTCGCGTGGCTTCGGGAGGAAGTAGGTCGGCCGGCTGCTGTGCTCAGTGGCGACTCGGCTGGATGCCTGCTGGATGCAGCAGCCGTGGCCTGTGCAGCACCTTCCGGGGCTGCCTGTCGCGGGCCTCCCAGGCGCTCCGACCTCGGGGGGGCAGCATGGGTGTTGCGGGCTGCAGGTGGAGGGTCTGAGTTCTGCTGGAGTTGTTGTCCGATGGCCACTTTCTCACTGGCCGCAAAATCCACTTCTCCAGATCGGGGAAGGGCGTGAGCGTGGCTTTCCACGCTGGCGGTCTGTGTATCACCGCCTGCCCAGGAGCTTAAGATCCACACACGATGGTGTCAGGCCGCCCACAAGTCACCCACCTGTCCCCCTCGGTGCCAAACCCACGTGTGGCCTGGGGGAAGCCAGAGACGCCATGGGGACCCTGGGCTTGTGGGGCCCTCGTTCCTACGTCAAGGAGCTGAAGGGCCGTGGACGTGGCGTTGCTACGGTTACAGGCAACTTCGTGCTGGCCAAACGTCCTCGTGATTTCCCGTCCAGAACAACGAAGCTCGGGGTGAAGACACGGGTTCAGCCCCCGAGTGAGACACTGAATGCTCTTGGCATTACAGACGCTGCACAAAACTGAATGCCATGTAGTCTTGGCTCTGGGGTGGGAAGAGTCTGGAAGGTCCCTTCCTGCTGGACCACAGTCTCTTCACAGAGAAGCTCCCATGGTGGGTTTGAGCTTCTAAGGGGCTCTGGACACTGAAGGCTCAGAAGCAACCTTCTGGGGACTCGCCTCCACCGCTGTCGTGGGACCCCCGTTCCCCTCCCGTCCCTGGCCGGTGCTGGGTGATGGGGCCTGGACGACCATGACGGGAAACCGTGCGGCAAAGAAGACAGGGCTCCTCTGAGCCTCGCACTATTTCTTAGTTAAGTTAAAATGGTGAAGTATTTACTTCTTCTTTAATGCCGTCCGCGTTCACCGGGGAAGCCCCGTGGCCTGGTTCCCAGGCGGGGCTTGAGCGTGTCTGCTGCCAGGTGAGGTGGTGGGTCGCCCTGCGGTCCTTGTGTTGGTCTCACTTAGAAACAGGGTTGTTGCAGGTGTGACCAGTTAGAGGCCGTCACATTGGGAGCAGGGTGGCCCTACTGCCACGTGACAGCTGTCATTACTGGCACAGAGACATGTGCACGGGGAGGAGGCCACGTGACAACAAGGCAGAGGTCGGGGAGGGAAGCCCAAAGACCTCAGGGAAACCACCAGTTGCTGGGAGAGCGCGGAAGGGAGCCACCGCTGACCTTCGTCCGGGACGCGTGCCCCCAGGACAGAGGGACAATCTGTTCCTGCGTTCTTTGCTCCGCTCCACACAAGCACTGAGCCCAGGTCGGGGGCGCGCCCGAACCATCTGGCCCCTGAGGTTTGCAGAGGGGGACCCGGGCTTGCCTTCGGCGGTAGGGAGGGCGTCGTGTGACAGCACAGGACTCTGTCTTGGGAACCGGAAGTGTCACCCGCATGGGCTCTCCAATTTCATCCTATCCTTGTGTTTTAAATGTTGGTGCCGACCCTGACCCCGGGAGCCGATCTCATGGCCCCGTTGGTGGCAGCCGTTTGGAAACCACCTGCCGGAGGGTGCCTCTTCGTCGGGGAAGGTGGCACCGACTCCCAAGAAGGGGACGGTTTCTCTCCAGATGTCCCCATTTCCTTGTCTCGTCTTTCCGCTCTGCCAGAACTTGTCTCTGTGGCTCGCCTTCCACAAGCTGCTCTTTTGCTCCCCTGCTTTTCCAGCTGGCTTCCCCTGAGGCCACCCGCACCCCCCCGGGCACGCTGTCTTCCTGGCCCGTTTCCCCGCCGATCCCGGGAGCACCTCAGGTCGGGTCCTCGGAGGCTCGTCTGTGGCTACAGAACTGGGCACCCCGTGCAGCCCGCAGTGACCCGTTGCGCTGCCTTTCAGTTGCTTGTAAAGTTGTCAGAACATTATGGAATCTTGCCTTTTCTCGGTGTTCATGAATCTACATATTCTCCACACATTTCCACGGTGGCGTCTTTGCCGTGCTTGCGCTCAAATGAACCCCAAGGTTTTGGGTTCCCCTTCAGCTGTAATGCTTCATTAATCCACCCAGAACACACAGACACCTGCTCTGTACAAATTGTGGGCTCGCGAGGAGGACACAGCATCCTCCTCAGGAGGCCACGGTGCACCGGGGTGGGGGGGGCCCAAAGGACTCCTGTGATGGGGGTGGGGCAGGGCATGGAAGCAAAGCAGCCTCACTTCCCCCAGGAATCCAGGGCTCCCAGGTCTGCCTTACAACTTCCCCTTGGTTTCTAGGAGCCCAGCTGAATTGGGAGCTGCCCTAACCCTTCTGTTAAACTTTCACTAAAATAACAGAAGTTCTGGCTCAGGTTGGAGCAGGAGGTGAGGGGAAGCAGAGAGGTGATGGAGGCTCAGACTGTTTTCTCGACCCTTTCCCTGGAGGGAGGCTTCGGACTTCACGATGCGGCTTCCTTTGACTTAAAAGGGCTCACGAAAGATCTGCTTCTATATTGTAGACCTACAGGGATACGGCTTAGATGTTTAAAAATGAAGAAATGAACAAAGACACAGGAGGTAAACTGAAATATTAAGAAAGTGGATCGTGGTGATCCTTATAGCAGAGAAAGTAAAATGCAAGCCCCAAAGCATTAAACAGGACAAAGGTGGGCTCTTTCCCACACGGAAAGCTGGAGTTCACAAGGGAGAGATGGTGCTCCTGACAAGCCACACACCAAACGCCACAGGAATCGTGCTTGTGCGGCAAAAACCACAGGAGAGGCAAGGACACACGCACAAACACATTTACAGTGGGGGAATTTGCACACCATCCTGGGAAAAGAATTGGGGAAGAAAATGATGGGGAAGCAGAGAGGGACTCGAAAAGCATCATCGATAAGCAGACGGTATAAATACGCAGCAAGCACCCTTCCCAGCCCGGCCGCAGAGGACACACTTTCTCAAGTGTTTGCATTGTATTCGCAAAAACTGATAATACATCAGGTTGCAAAGAAAACACATGTCAGACACAAAGCAGAACTACTAAAAACACTTTCTGGTCACAGTATCATAAAAACCAGAAATTATTAACAGAAATAAAGAGAAAAGGTCCTACCACCAGAATTGGAAAACATTTCATAGACAACTTTTGGGTATAAAGGAATTAAAGACTAAAATGTATAGAACTTCTGGGAAATAATGATAATTAAAACACTGTGTATGAGAATCTACGGGTTATGTTTAAAGGAGCAGAGCACCAACCACTTGTTGGTAAAATGAAATAAATGAATTACTCAGCTCTAAAACTGGAAGAGAGGCAACAAAGGGCACTATAAAAAAAGCATAAAGAAAGAAATATTAATGACAACGGCAGAAATTAATGAAGAGCATACTGGAAATACAGTGAAGTTAGTTAATATGTCAATACCCTAGAATTTGGGAAAAAATTAATAGACAAGCTACTTGTTGACCAGTTAGGAAGGAAAAGAAGAGCATATATTTATAAAATTAGAAATAACAAGGGGGAATCGCAGTGGGAAAAAGTGATACCTTTAAGATAATGAGATGATTTAGATATGTCCATGCAAATACGTTCGAGGAACACAGAAGAAACGGATCATTCTCTAGGGAAATAAGAGTTTGCTAAAATCGCTTCTCCTAGAAGAAACAGAAAAAGTTACTAAGGAACTACCTGAGAAAAAACACCAGAAGGAGATGGTTTCACAGGGCATTTCTAAAAAATCTGAAAAGACCGTCTGGTTTCAATGCTCTAAATCTCCAAAGAGATTCCAACAGGGAGGAAAAACACTTAAATTCTTTATTGTGAAGGAGGTGTAACATTGACATTTCAACCTGATAAAGATAGGACAAACAACTGCAGACTAATACTACTTATGAACTGTATTGGGGCTCAAAAATACTAAATAAAACATTGACAAACAGAATCCAAAATAATCAACATGAACAAGTGAGGTTTATTCTAGGAATGCAAGGTTGGTTCAATATTGGAAAATCCATTCATACATCATTCACGTTGACAGGCCTAAAGAAAAAAACATTGAGTATTGCCAAAGAATGAAAAAGAGTGTGACAAAATATTAAAAAATGGATGGATACTTTCTTTAGATGTTAAAATATGCATGCCTTTGTTCTAGGGCCAGAAACTTATTTATTGGCTAAACACTAGGGGTATTTTAGCTAAGATCGTGAACAAGGCACGGAAACGCACTAACTCTGATACTTGTGACTGCTATCTTCGAAATATGAGCCAATGCAATTAGATAAGAGAAACCAATGAGATGCCTAAACGTTGGTAAAGAAGAAGAAAATTCTATTTGTACATGATAATGCAGTATATTTGGAAAACTCTATAGAAGCAATGATTAACTGAACATTCTCACTCATCACCCACCAGGCAGACGACAGGCCTATCCCGAGTCTCCCCGGCACACAGGCAGGGTTGTTCCCAAGTCGCCGTTACTGTCCTTGCAAAGTCTGTGCTTACCGCCAGAAAACTGGGACTCGCCAAAACCCTCAGGACCGCCGATCTGATAACTCTCATCAATGCTGGGTTCTTTGATGATGAACATGGAAAAAACAGGTGGACATTGTTTTGGTTACATGCTTATGAACACTTGGACCCATACTTTATTTCAATACTTTAAGTGGAAATGCCAATATCATCTTCGAGCTTAATCTAAAAATGTGGTCTGGGAAGTTATCACTCAGGCGTCGAGTCCGATGTCATCTGTTAGGGAACCGCGTTCACTCATTTGCTGCCCCAGCCTCCCAGTTACGAGAATTTACGTCCCGACGACATGCAAACAAGTGTGCCCCAGGATGTTCCTGGAAACTTCGTGTGTAACTGCGGAAACAACACATGGAAGCACGTAGAAGGACTGCACGAGGGCGGGAGCCATGGTCCACATGCACTGGGAGTACAAAGGGGCTACAAGACCAGATACCATTGCTGAGACGGGTGCGGAGTGACTCTCAGCGAGCAGCGTGCAGGGAACAGGGCAGAGGCTGGAAATTTGTGGTGAGCACCTTCATCTAACGAGGGAGGAGGACAGGAGTGTATGGTTAGCTCCTCATTTCTGCCAAAGGGACTTGGGGACTTGCGGTGTTGGTCTCCTGGGGATGCACACTGTGGTGGGCAACTCGTAGCTTCTGGTATGTACCTTTCTCTATTGTGATGACTTTTAAAACCACGCTAAGGCTCACATATTCAAATACAAATATCAAAAATCAACAGCATGAGGAGACCAAAAAATGATGCCAGTAGTAGCAGTGAGCTCAGACAGAGGCACAGAGAACGGGCAGGAGGAAAGACCCAGTCTAGGTGACCTTGAAACTGCATTCGGCTAGTGACAAAGAACTCACAAGCACCGTTCTCCTGTCAGCGGATCTGACTTTTCCCGGCTGCGGGTAGCAGAGTCTATGCCTCCAGGACGAAGCCAGGGCTTCAATTGTTGTGGAAAATGGGAGCCGTATTTTTAACAGAAAGTGACAAAGGAGTAGGAAGGAGACCTGGAGGAACCCTGTGATACTGGGTGGGATCAGGGCATTGGCTTGAAGCCGTGGTTTTACGTAGAGAAAGGAGGAGGGCGACAGTTCAGTGGAACTGTGTGTGTGTGTGTGTGTGTCTTTGCGCGTGCCCGTGTGCATATGCCTGTGTGTTTGGGTGTGTGTGCCTATGTGTGTGCACGCGCGCGTGTCTGCGTGTCCGCGTGTCCGCGTGTCTCCGTGGTCACTTATGGCCCTGCCTGCAGAGGGGGCCTGGCAGCGACGGCCTCCTCCCTGTCTGCCTGGCTCCCAGGTCTTCGTTTCTAAGTTCTGTTCTCTGGGAAAGGAGATCAGACTCCGGAGCCGGGGCAGGGAAAGGGCTAGAGGCCGAGAACACCTCAAGGGGCCAGAAAGGAGGGACGTGTTCAAGAGAAGGGCGCGGCCACGGGACACAAGTGGCAAGTGGGCAGAGCCCCCAGAGCACATGCGGGTGAGCGGATGAGGAAGGAGCACGGGACGAGTGAGTAAATATGGGACTAGCCCTTCCTCAGGGCAGCAGTCCCTATAAATAAACACAGGCAGAGTGAAAGGAGCTGAGAGATGCCATTCGACAAGGTCCTGCCTCGGGGCCCAGCACCACGTCCCGCAGAGCAGGCGTCCTGTGACCTACGCAGGCGACCTTTCCTCTGCGCCATCTTTAGGGTAAAGGAAAGATCTGTCATCCCGTGGCGCCCATCGGAGCCTTGGCAGACTGGAATTCATGTCAGCCACCTCGGCTGTTGGAGGGACGCTCTCCCCCACTCCTGGGGGCCTCCCTGGCTGGGGGGAGGCACTGGCTCTCCCCACCCACCGCGCCCAGGAGGGACACTGACCTAGCTGAAATGGGAGAGGCGGGAAGTGTGGCAGCCCTTCCTGCAGACGGCCACCTGCCTGCGGGGACATTCCTGTCTTCCTCCCCCAGGCCCTGCTTTGCCAGGGCCAGGGCCACGGGCAGGGGTGGGGGCTGGACAGAGAAGGGAAGTCTGCCCGCCGGGGTGGGGGGTGGAGAGCAGCCTCCCTCTCTGGCCACACTGTCACCCTCCATGACGGGGCTGTCCCCATCGGCCTCTGCCTGGCTCCTCCGTCCTCCCACTGGGTTCTCTACGCAAGCGGGGTTACGGGGTTGCATTTACCATTATTGAAAATTTTGTCTTCACTGCCAAGAGACAACTGTGGGTTATCGGAGAGTCCATGGTAACTCTGAGGAGCACCAACTTGGAAATTCTCGTCCAGGATGGGATCTGCAAGGAAGAACACGGAAGAAAGAAGGAAACGAGTTTTGCTTGCGCGCCTACGGGCGTTCCGGTCCACACTGAGGCGCAGGGACTGCCGGAGGCCTGGTCAGGTTCTACTGAAAACGTGCGGTGCCAAGTTCGCACGTGAGGGAGTCTGGCCTCGTCTGACCGCCTTGCCCTCAGCCGGGGGCCTCGGCGGTGTCGGGCGACGCCGTGCTGGGAACTGGGGTTTACATCGAGGCACGACTTCCAGGCAGGGCTGACCTCTCCTGCCGCTGAATGTAGTTCGTGCACAGCGCGTGGATTCGGATACCGGCTCCGCCCCGCCCGGTGTCGCCCCGACACTTGCCTTGGTTCTCAGCGAGCTGGTTCTCGGGTCTAGGTGCCTTCCGGACACCGCGAAGCTGCCCTGGGGAAGAGCGCGTTCTTTATCTTGGCTCACTACCCGCCGGGTGGCCCTGGGTTGGTGCTTCAGACCCTAGTTTCATCCCCCGTGGAACGGGGTCAGGCTCGCCGCCCACCCTCTCAGCAGGCTTAGGTCCGCGTCCGTGTGCCGACGGGTGGGAGCTCCTGTTTCCGTGCGCCCCGGGAGCCCGCGGCGGCTGGACCCCATGCGCAGCCCGAGCACAAGACCTTGCTTGCGTGTGCACCCCAGAGACCACCCCAACGTAGGCGGAACTCGTCTCTGCCAGCCCAGGCCTCTCAGTCTCAGGAAGGTTCTAGAAATGGTTTGGGACAACTGTGTCTTTCTCATTTTCATTTGCTCTTGCCCCAGAAGTAGCTGGCCTTCAAGAACGCAGAATGATGGGATTGTGCCTTTACCCCCACGAACCCAGGAATATACGCAGTTATAGGTTCAAAAAAATGTATACTTGCTTTTTTCTGTGAACAGTTTTGTTGGTAATGTTGATGGTGTCCTTTGCTTTCCAGCCATTGATGATTTATTTGGGTCCAACATCTCTTGGACTAGAATTTCATCTTGGGAAAAGCACACAAAGTCATGTTAAAGCCAGCGGTACAGGACAATACACTTTTGCTCTACACGGACCTAAGGCCTCCTGTGAAGCCGGGACTGGAAACAGGGACTCAAGGAGCACCGTGCACACGGGTTTGGCTTTCTGCAGAACCTTGTCTGGGTGGGAGACCACTGCCTTCAGCAGTTTCTGAAATCCGAGACCCCCCAGATACCCTGGAAGAATAAACAGGGCCCCCCAAACGCACCATGCTAGAAGCCTGGCCCCGGGTGCAGTCCTACTTCTCGCTCCCCCGGGCATTCCGTCCCCTCTGAGACTTTCCCCGGGCTGTCCCCATGTGAGCGCGGCGTCCTTCCTGATTTCTGTAGGACGCAGCATTGCTTTCTCCCTTGAGTCTTGCTGACCTCTCCCAGGAAGCTTTTAACAAAAGAGCACCGGACTTTGCCCGACGGGGGGGCCCGTCTCTCTCTGCTTTCGCTGGACCGTGTTCCAACCAGCTTTCTCCCGGACCCTGTTTTCTCGTCTGCAGCATGGGCCTGTGTTTATCTCCTCGGGCAAGGAGGTTCACACAGAGCAGTGTACGCGGAAAGCACTTAGCACCGTTGGGGACCATCAAAGCTAAATGCAAAGGAGAAGGGGGTAGTGGCCAGTCGCCCCATCTCTGCAGGCCGGTGGGCGCCCTGACCAGCTGGTCCACGTACCGAGACGAGCCCCGCCGCAGGAGGACCACCTTGCCCTGGTTTGCCCAGACTTCCCTGGTTCAGTGGGCAAGTGCCACATCCTGGGAGCCCTGAGGTCAGGGCAAAGCACATGGCTGTCCACCCTGGCTCTGGGTCATGGGGGAGACATGACTTCTGGGGAAGAAGACCTCAAGTGTCACTGGAGACAGAGACTCTGCCGGCAGGCATGGGGCGGTGCTCTCGTGTAGCTCTGGGGCCTTCTTCCCCCACAGCCTCACCTTCCTCCTCCTCCCCCCAACCCAGACCCTGAAATGGGCCCCAGGGCCACGTGGGCTCCACAGCTGGGCAGGGCATGTGACGGGCTCTGAGAAGCACTTGGCTTCTCCAGGCAAAGACAGTGGGTGTCTCAACCCGCCACCTTCCTTCTTCCTGCCCTGGGAGTGGCCACCATTCTGGAGCTGCAGGCACTGTCCATGACCGCAAGTCATGAGCTCAGGAGATGGCCAAGGTGACCTCGGGGACATGGCTTGACGCCCCTGAGCTCCTGGGGACACAGGAGCGCCACCCCTGCATGGTGGAGGTGCCGCTCGGCTCCCCTCGAGCGGCCAGGGGCATTCTTCACTGCTGCCCTCTCTGGTTACACCTGCTTCGTCCTTGAGAAGACCTTGGCCACTCTTCTGGGCCAGTTATTATGCAGAAGAACCAACGTGAAGTCCCTAAAATCATGGTGTCTAGTTAGATTTTGGGTCACAGAGAAGAGTGGGTATTCATGGGACTAACGAAGAATTATTGAGCCCTTACTGTGTACCAGAAACTTTCCAGGTGCCCAGGAGTCAGGGATGGCCCAGCCCTGGCCCCTGATCTCTGTCCTGAGCAAACCAGCCCTGTGTGAGGGGCAGGACTCTATACGTGTGACCATTCACCACACCTTCCAGAGCACCCACCAGGGGCTGGGGTTAAGGGGGCCCGAGGCAGCGGGGGGGGGGCACTGGCAGGGACAGGAGGCAACTGAACGGCCCACTCAGTGCTCCTGGAACCAGTCCACCTTGGGAAGGAGGCTGCAGTGGCCTCCCTGGGACATGTAATACCTATTGGCCGCGGACGTCCCGGGAGGTCCTCAGAGCAGCTGTGACAGCCCAGCTGCCACAGGACAAACCCCGTGTGTGGGCAGTGTCTGTTCTCGGCACCAAGAGGAGCCCGAGGGCAGCCGCCTTCACACCACTTCCCGAGTAGGCGGTAGGCAGGCCCAGCGGAAGGTTCCAACAGCCCCCAGGACCCCTGCATCTAAGTGTAGCAAAAACCTTCCGGGAGCCCCGACAGGTTGTACAAGTGAGAAAACTGTCTCCAGGCTATGTCTAATTTCTTATGGTCACATTTACTTTCCTGGAAAATGAGATATTGAATATACAAACGGACAATGAAAAGATCTACATAAAGGTAACACCAGCCCACCAGGTTCGAGAAGTCGCCACTGCGGGAAGGTGACCGTGGTCTCCAGCAGCAATCCTGGAAGTCAGACCCCCCCCCACCCCCAACCCCGGGGCCACCTGCTCCTGCTGGCTGGGATGTGATCCGTCATGGCCGCTTCCCCAACTCTTGTCCTGTGTCCAGGGACCAACCAGAGAAAGCCCAAGGTGCTTCCCTGACCCTCCCACGGGAACCGCTTCTGGTGAGCTGCCCCGGTGTCCCAGCCAGCGCCTACATCAGGGACCCCCTCCCCAAGCCGTCCCCAGCCAGCCTCTCTGTCAGGGATCCCCCCAGGCTGTCCCTGGCTAGCGCCTATGTTCGGGACCCCCTCCCTATGACATCCCCTGAGCTGCCTCTGGCCAGTGCCTACGTCAGGGCTCCCCCTTCCAAGCCATCTCCAGCCCGCAACCATGTCTCGCCTCCTCTCCCCCCACTAGCCGTCCCTGTGCCACCCTGAGCTTCCACCCACCACCGCCCCCAGTCTCTGCCCCATGCATGGGCCGGGGGCCTGGCTGACGTCCTGCAGCGGGGAGCTCTGAAGCCACAGGCTCCGCAGCTCTCACTGGTGGACGACACAAGCCTCGGGAGACACAGATGTCCCCCTCTCACGGCTTCCCGCTCTTCCCCAGGAGAGGTGTGGGGTGGAGGCGGGGGGCAGGAGCCTCGATTCCCCTTCCGGGCTTCTGTGGATCAGCCCCACAGCGTCGTCAGAAATCCCAGTGACTCTGTCCTTTCGTTTCCCCAGGTGGTCGGGACCTTGGGTGGCCGGCCCCAGGAGGGAGTGGGCACTGGTGACTCTGGTCCCGTGGGGACCGAGATGGTCAGACCCGCCGGGAAACTCAGGAGTGCTGGCCAGCCCCGCTCCTGGTCCTGGGGGTGCTTCGCTCCTGCCGGGCTGGTTCGCGGGACTCAGGGTTACCTCCCAGCTCCGGCTCGGGGCTCAGTTTCCCTAACCTGCAGGTAGTGTTTGAAGGGTGTCTAATGCACACCTGCGCGGGGTGGGGTCCTTCATGCCCCTGGGTTCTCTCCACGCCCTGAACCACACACAGAGCCCACGTTACCATCTCATCTCATGGGTGGGCCCTGCCAAGCCTGTCCTCTTGGCTCTGTGGAGGGGCAGGGGCAGGAAGGTTCCCGAGGGCATGAGAATCCCCAGAACCTTCCAATTCGGAGACGGAACTGCTTAGGTGAGCGGCCGGTGGCCCCCCCCACAGTGACCCAGTGGGTGGGCGTCTGAGTTTCTAGGCCCGGAGGGCAGCCCAGCGTCACGCTCCCAGGCTCCTCCTCAAGAGAGGGGATCCCCCAGTCTGCTGCCCCGAGCCCTGTGGGCAGAGGCGTCCCCAGCCCCGAGCCCCCCTCTCAGCTCAGGGGCTTCTCTAGGCTTCACTTTCACGAAATAGAAGACGAGCGTCGGACCAGAACAGCGGGCTCTGGGGCTCCGGCCACGTGCACACACGCGGCTGCGTCTGGTCCGACGGAGATGTCCCCTGGCTGTGAAGGGCACAGCAGACTTTGAAGACTCAGTGTGATGAAACGCTGGACAGATCTCATGAGTGCTTTCATGCTGGTTACACGTCGAAACACTAACATAGGTAAGATGTGGCTAAATTAGTTTCACCTGTTCCTTTCTTTACGGCCACTAGGAAATGCGCAGGGACCTCTGTGGCTTGCGTCGTGCTTCTTGTGAGCAGCCCTGGGAGCCCCGTGGTCCCCAGCTCAGGAGGCCTTCCGGGCAGGGCTCGATTCGGATCCGGGCATTGCTAACGAGCTCCGGCACCTCAGCCCCGCCGGCCGGTGACCTCACTCGCCGCAGTGACATCCCAAGGCCCTTCTCTGGTCCAGTGGCTTTAAATTCTACTTCTTTCTTAACTTCCTGGGAGTTTGACTCTTCACATACAAGGCTTAAATCTGTGGGCCACAGGGACTGTGATTCTGGCCCCAAACCGAACTCACCCTCCACCTGTGCGGGGAGCCCCCGTCCCCCCTCCGATACAGACCAGACGCTGATATGAGGAGGCTCCTTACCAAACACTCGATGTATATCCTCCTGACTTTGTGAACGGGGTGGCATTTCAGTGATGGGACCTGGGGGGAAATAAATACCCTGATAGTTTAACAATTCATTGAATCTGCACGGACTTCTCTCTCCGTAGTCTCAGTTTTGGGGTCCCCGCCAGCCTGCTGCTGAGGGAAAGCCCTGCCTGGGGTTCCCAGGACCGGGCTCTCCTCTGGAAAGTGGTGAACGAAGCGGCTGTGTTTGGAGGGACGAGCCCTGAGCTGGGACTCCTGCCCCCTTGGACAGTGCTCACAGGCACCGTCCCTCAGAAGCGAAAGTCGTCCTGGCTCCAAGGATGACGCCCTTGCAGGGGCTCCGAGGACAGCCGACAAAGAGGGACATGCATGTCCTTTTGTGAAAAGCACACCATTGCTTCCTCTCTGGCTCCAGCAGCAGGTGCTTGGGGAGACCCGGGGATAGGAATCTGGGGAACTGGGAGTGCGGACTGCTGTTCCCTCTGGGGTTCCCTGGTGGGGAGGGGTTCCAGACACACCGGCCACCCGCTCTCCCCCCGTCGTCAGCAGAGCGAGTCCAGGTGGTCTGTCTACAGGGAAGATGCGGGGTCTTGTGGGGGAGATGGCCGGGCCAGCCGTGGGCTTCCGTGGGCTTCCGTGGGATCCCTGGATCCCGACCTGCCGCCTTCCCGGCCTCGCGGGCCTGAACCCGCTGTGCTGGGGACCCGGAGGTGTGCGGTGGCTGATGCTCGTCTCCCCGCTGTGGCGGCACCGGCCAGGGGCTCCCTCCCACTCTTCCGGCTCAGAGCAGGGCTGCCCCCGTCCCTGTCCTCCACTCGAGGTCAAGGTCAGCCTCTCATCAGGCCTCGAGGTCGCGGCGGCTCCCAGAGGGGAGAGGGCAGCCCGGGGACCGCCGCAGGCCCGGCTGCGCGGACGGAGCGTGCACGCGTCTGGAGACGCTCGGGTTCCAACAGCAAACCAGTGACGACGCTGATTTTCAAATGGGTTTAATGACGGACAATCTGCATACCAATGGACTCATCTGCGCGCGGAGGGCTCGGAACAATGCAGGAAATGTCTGTGAGAAGGTCTGCGCTGAGATGACAATCGCTTCGCAGTGTGCTGACCTTCCGCAGCGCGGCAAAGAAGTACGGTTCTCTTTGGATGAGGCATTAATGAGTCATTAAGAATGGGTACAGCTGCGTCTGCAAGCACTTTGTTAAAAATATTCTTTTCATTTTGTGTCTGTCCCGTAATTATAAGGGAGGCTTTGTGCGAGTCAGCCAGCGAGCGTGTGCAGAAAAATATTTATGTTTTGTAATATCCGCACGGTTTCTGAAGTGCGTTGTCGACGGTGGCTGCTGGGCTGTGGTTCGCCTGTCGTCACCCCGACCGGCGGTGTCTGGGCTTCGAACCCCCGGTGCCGGAGCTACCAGGATCCGTTGACCACTCCTCCTCCCTGTTTGCACAGTGTCCATCCCGGCCAGCGGGGAAGGGCTCCCTGTGGACCTCCGCGGTCGTGCTCGGTTAATTCTTTGGGGCAAACGAGGCAAACCAGGCCCGCGGCTGCCGCCCCCGTCTCTCCCCGGGGTCAGGCTGAGTCGTGTGGCCGCCGGCAGCGGTGTCCGCGGACACGGTAACCCCCGGAGGCACGAGCGGCGACAACTTCCTCCGTTTTGGCCTCAAACCGTCTAACTGACGAAGAGCTTCTTTCCGGCTCATCGCCTCTCTCAGGCAAGCATCGCAGAGAGCAGAGCATCCTCCGATGGGAGCCGACTCTGGCCCCTCAAGGGTGAGGCCTGCCTGCAGCCGGCCGGACCCCGCCCAGGACGGACCCCGAGACAGGGACCCGCCTGACCTTTCTGCCCACCTGCCCGCACTGGCCTCTGGTCCCGTTTCCTCCTAGAAACCGCGAGCGCTTTCGGCCGGTCGGAGCCGGTCTCTGAGAGGCTGGTCCGCGGTCCCCCCGGGGTCGTCCCCACCACTGTCCCTGCCTGCGGACCTGGTCAGCACGAGGGGCCACCGCTGGTCTGAGTGGGGCCTCTGTGCCCCGGCTGCGAGCCGGAGGAGCCCCAGGGCTGGCTGTCGTAGATGACGGAGGGACGACGGCCCTCACTGGTCTTCCGAGCCGGGGAAGGCCCCGTGGTCACCTGGGGGCTCCCCGGCCCGATGGGAGGACAGGTCTGGGAGGGGACAGGCCGGCTGCGGCTGCCGCGGGCGCTCCGTCCGTCCGCACTGAGGGCCGTTCCTGGGGACGCGGGCTCGCGACAGTCGTGGGACGCTCGGCCCCACCCCCGTCACAGACTGTTCCACACCCACGGCCGCACGAAGGACGCCTCAAAACTCCGTTTCCATAAGGAATGGAAGCTGGGAGCGATCGTGTCTTCCCGGACCGCCTGCCTTCTCACCCCGGCCCGGCCAGCTGGCCCGTCCCCTCAGGTCACTGTGGGCGCGGCAAGGGCGGGAGGGGGAGCGCTGTGTGGGGCTCGGGGCCAGCACCCCTGCTCCTGCTCCCAGGGGTGCCTCTGCTCCCAGGAGAGCAGCACTGACCCCCGCGGGACGCTCTGGGGCCCGGGTGTCCACCTCTGGGAGCTGGGGCTGGGGACCGTCCCGTCCCCTTTCCTTCCGTCTTTGGGGACCTCCGAAGAAGGTGAACAAGGAGGCAGGTGGCCCGAGCATGGAGCTTCCTGGTGGGAAGTGGGGGGTCATGGGGCACCCCCTTTCCTGCCGCCCTTTGTCCTCATGTCTTGTGAGTCACAGCGTCCCTACCCCTCCTGGGCCATGGTCACCCTCCACGCAGAAGGGGCCAGGATGGAAGCACCAGAGCCAGGGGTGCGTGGGGACCTGCCTGGGGGGTGACTGGAACCGTCCCCAGTAAGGGCCTCTGGGGCGGCGGGGACTGAATCCGGCTGGGGCAGCGGCGGCGAAGGTTGCTGCTGTTTTGTCCGCGTGTGAAGGACGCTGGGAAGTGTGGGAAAACCGCCTTCCCTGCGCCAGCAGCGGTGTGCACAGCCCGTGGCGGCCTCCACACTCCTGGGAGCAGCAGGCGCGTGTGTGCGGAAAGTGCGGGACGGCCCCCGCGTGTCACGGGGACCGGGCTGGGCTTCTCTCAGCTCCTCCAGCACTTTGGGTAAATGAGACATTTTCCGTAATGAAAACGGTCGCACACGCCCCCTCCTACGGAGTTCTGGATCAACAAGGCTTCCAGGACGGAAACCTGTTCCACACGCTCCATCCTCCCCCAGAAACAGATGAGGAGGTAGACCAGGAGTCCCAAGGACCTGAGGGACAAGCTGTGGTGGCCGGATTCAGCCCCCAGAAGCCAGCGTTTCTACCGCTACGACAATACGCTGTGACCAACCTGAAGTCATGTTGATGGGTTGGAGCCTGGCTTCTCGCCAGCAGGACAGCAGCAGGACGAACAGGGTCACTCCTCTGCTCCCTGCCATGTTCCCTCCAGCCAAGGAGGAAGACCTTCCCTTAAGACCCTCAGTTTGGTCTCCGGGAGACCGTGGAATGTCCGGGGGACCTGTGACGTCACCGCAGGAAGTGACCCGGGTCCTGTCCTCTGTGTGGGGAGGGTCGTGTCTGGGACCTGTGACGTCACCGCAGGAAGTGACCCGGGTCCTGTCCTCTGTGTGGGGTGGAGTCCGGGGACCTGGACTGAGAAGAAGCCAGGATTCTGGCTGCGGCAATAGGGTGACAGAGATGCCCCGGTACCCTCCCTGCCTGGTCTGGACCTTGCCTGACCTGCGGACCCTGAAGCCCGGAGGGTGGGATAATCGTCAAGACTCCAAGGGCAAGCAGCCGAACCCACCGAAATCAGCTTACGTGAAAAGAGGTTCCTTGGAAGGAGAGCTGGTTGGTTACATGGCACGTGCTGGAGCCCCTAGTCCCAGGGGTCTGGGAAGAGCAGGTGTGACACTCCCGCTGTCTCCCCGCACCCTTGCTACCCCTCCCTCCTTCTCAGACTCAGCCCTGCTCTCTCACTGTGGGTGGACTTTGATCACAAGACGGGAGCTCATTCCCTCCGTCAGTACCAGTGAGGTACTGGTACTTCCTACAGGAAGCACCCGGTTGGCTGGCCTCAAGCCCGTCCCATGTAGGACTGAGGCCTGTCCCCACTTCAGAGTAGGGTCGTTGGTCTGCCCAGCCAGTGCGCTGGTGTGGACAGGGTGAGGTCCCGGGGGGGGGGGTCATACACATGAGACAACCACCATGCCTCCTCGAACCCGGCAATGACCGTAAGGATGACATGTGCCCGGGGCATGTCTTGGTGTTCTCATTGCCGGAACAGGCACCGACCACAGCTCTCGCTGTTTTCCTCCTGATGGACGTCGAGGAAGCCGTCTGCCTTGAGGAGGGATCGTGGCGGACACTGAGAACGTCTGCGGTGCCCAGCCCACACGTGAGCTCAGCTTACGTTTGCAGGTGGCCCGGTGGTCTTCATGTCCCACTGGAGTTCATCGGTGATGCGTGGTCTGATGACATGGACCGTGGTCTGGACTTGGGCCATTCAGGTGTGGACTTGGCACAGGGCGGAGAATCAAAATGGAGAGCAGCAGCATGAATGACGGTAAACTCTAACTTGCCGTCAGGGAGCCATCCAGGTAGTTACACAACCCCTCCAACCACCGGCCCTCGACGGCCTGGATCTGCTCCATAACTTCCTCCACACAACCACCCAAAGAACGAGGTGGCACCTGTGGAAGGAAGTTCCCAGCATTTCCCTGGAAGGGTGTGGGAGGCCAAGCCGGGGAGACCCGAACACTCACTTATAACAGTGTACACTTACTGGGGTGCCTGGGGGGCTCAGCCAGTCAGGCAGCTGCCTTTGGCTCAGGTCATGATCTCAGGGTCCTTGGATCGAGTCCTAAGTCAGGGTCCCTGCCCAGCGGGGAGTCTGCTTCTCCCTCTCCCTCTGCTGTTTTGTGCTCTCTTCTCTCTGACAAGTGAATAAATAAAAATTAAAAAAAAAAACCCATAGATTAATAATCTAACCTGTTCTGGAGGTGAGAAGTCTACACTGGGTCTCACTGGGCTAAAACCGTGGTGGCTGGCAGCAGGGTGTGCCTCCTGGGAGTGCTCTAGAACCTCTTTCCTTACTCTCCCAGCTTCCAGAAGGCCCTCCACATCCTCAAAGCCTGTCCTGTCTCTGGTTCTCCCTTTTATATGGATGGTTGGGTTTGCACTGGCCTCTGTGATTGTTGATTTCACGTGTCAACTTGCCTAGTTATGTGGTCAAACATTATCCTAGATTCTTCTGTGTGTTGGGATTTATGTTCAAATTGGTGGACTTGGAGTGAAGCAGATTGTTCTCCGTAATGTGGGTGGGCCTCATCCAATCAGTTGAAGGCCTGATTTGAGCAAAGTCACTGATCTCCCTTAAGTGGGAGGGGCCTCTTCCAGCAGATGGCCTTCAGATGCGAATGGCAACACCACTCCCGCCTGGGTCCCCAGCCTGCCCCTGCTCTGCAGATCCGAGACATGCCAGCCTCCACAATCCTGGGAGCCAAGTTCTTGAGATAAATCTGTCTCTCTATCCACCACCTATTGGCTCTGTTTCTTTGGAGAAACCGAATGCAGGACCACATGGGTAGTCCAGGGCAATCTCTCTGTCTAAATTCAGATGATTAGCAAGCTTCCTTCCGTCTACAGCCACAGCTGCCCTCTGCCAGCGAACACAAGACGCTCACAGGTTCTGCAGGTTCTGGGCCTGGGCGTACAGACACATCTCTGTGGGACCATTATTCCGCTGAAAACAATGTCTTTTGCACATTTCTGACTGGATTGCTTGTTCTTTTACTGTCGAATTTTGAGAGTTCTTTGTACGTTTATTCTAAATATGAGTACTTTGTTCAATATTCGATGCGTAAAACATTCCTCCCGGTCCACAGCCCGTCTTTCATCTTCCCTACAGGTCTTTTGTAGAGCAACATTTCTTTTTAATTTTGCTGAATCCAGTGCGTAGAGGCTGCTGCTAGGCGACAGGCCTGAGCAGTGGAAATCTGAGTGAAGCAGAAGGGCCCAGAGTGCCCGCTGGGCTGACGTAAACAGGCCCATGAAGTGACCCGCCCGGAAAAGCCACCAGCCCTGGCTGACCCATGGGCTATGTACAGCCAGCCACAGTTCCCAAGATTAGCCAAGAATCCCATACTTCCTCGGTCTCTGGTGTAAGCCTGTAATGGGAGCATCTGTCAATTGCCTGTGGCAGACGGTCTCTCCCTCGCCGCCCTGCCCGCCACTCCATTCCCATGCACCCAAGAAGCTTCTGCTCCGTTGTCCTGTCCTGAGTGAGTCCCACCGGTCTCAGCTGACCGGGCGCCCGCCACAGCACAGTGTTTTCCCCCACTGACCACGCTCTCGGTGTCATATCCCCTCAGCAAGCCTCAGGTCCCGAAGATTTAACTTATCTTCTAAAAATTTTATGTTTATAACCTATAATTATTGTCTGTAATCCATATGGATTTTAGGATAATATTGTTTATATCTGAAGAAAAGTTTTGCTGGGATTTTGATGGGAATTGTGTTAAACCTGTATGTCAGTCTGGGGCATTGTCCAACGGTTTTCTGCGAGAATCGATGTGATCATGTGACTCCTTCCTCGCTAGCGTGCCGATGGGGTCAGTACAATGTGGAGTGTCTCTTGGCTTATGTTTTTTTTTCCTCCATGATGCTTTTCTGTTTACTCCATTCTGCTACAGAGTCCACCTTGTGAGTTTTTAAAAAATCTTCAGACACAGTATTTTTTAGTTCTAAAATAGCCATTTGGGGTGCCTGGGTGGCTCAGTGGGTTAAAGCCTCTGCCTTCAGCTCAGGTCATGATCCCAGGGTCCTGGGATCGAGTCCCGCATCAGGCTCTCTGCTTGGTGGGGAGCCTGCTTCCTCCTCTCTCTTTGCCTGCTTCTCTGCCTACTTGTGATCTCTGTCAAATAAATAAATAAAATCTTTAAAAAAAATAGCCATTTGGTTCTTCCTATTTTCTGTTTATTTGCTGAAACCCTGTCTTCATGGAGACTTCCTATTTTCACTTGTGTTGATTCCTGCAGATGAGTGTGATCTCACCGCTTTGAAACCCTCACCAGACAGTTCTAACACCTGTGTGACTTCGGTGTTGGGTGTGCTCACATCTTCTCGTTCTGCACGTTCTCTCGCTGCTCCCATGTGACCCGTGGTCTCTGATGGACACCTGGTCGGTGCGTGCCTCATGGTGTAAGACTCTGGGTCTCATTTGGACCTTGTCCTTTGCCGGCTGGCCTCTGACACTGCTCCAGGTTCACCATCACATCAACGGGCTTGGGGGAGGAGGGGGGAGGTGAGCAGAGTCCGGCTTCCCTGCTCAGCCTCCTGCACCATTGCCTAGGCTGGGCGGTGGTACAGTAGCCTAGTGAGGGGGCAAGGCAAGGCTCCCCACTCAACTTTGGCTGGTGGCTGGGGACAGGGTGACCTTTTTTTCTGTGGTGTTTGGCTGGACTAGAGCCGTTACAGTGTTAATGCCTGTAGTATGAGGCCCCCTCCCCCATCCCGTGTCGCTATCATTTGTTTAGAGGGAGTGGGGATTCTCATCTGGGTCTGTGGTATTTCTGTGTGCCGGCATCTCTAGCCGGACCCACTGGGATTCACAAGACAACCCAAGAAGCTAGGGGCTTCACTGCCAGGCTGTTCCTCGGGTCTTGAGGCCCCTTGTCCTCTGCCTTCTCTCCGTCTTCTAGAGAATTCTTGCATTTGTTTGATGCATGATGTCAATGGGTTTCACTGTGCTTCGTGAGAAGAGTAGGGGAGAGGATGTCTGCTCCAATAGTCCCCATTGGGAGTCCCTGGTGCTCTCCTGGGAAACACTGGGGCCCACGGCCAGCGTGGTTAAGCTGTGGAGACGTGGTGTGTATGGGATTAACAGGCCGACTCACCTGCTAGCTTAGCCCCTTCCTGCCTGGCAACCTCAGACAAGTCACTTAGACGGAGCCTCCTCCTCGGCTGCCACAGAATCCTGCCAGGACAGGCGTTCTATGGTCCGAGTCCTTTGTCCCCTCCTAGTGCCTCCTCGCCCCTGCTCACTGGGCTGAGTCTGGTCCCCGGGGCCCTCTCTGCCCCACCTGGCTGTGTCCAGCCCTGTCCCTCCTTCAGTGGCTCTCTGACCCCCTCATCGACGTCCTGTCTCTGCTCGAGGCTGGACTCCCTGCTGGCCGGATCTGGACGGGTGGGGTTGGCAGGATTTGGGGGTTCTGGGAGGGAAGAGGCACTCTCGGGCACAGAACAAACCCCGCTGGGGTCTTCGGTGGGGGGGACAGAAAGCCCCAGGGCCGAGGAGGGAGCTGCGGCCTGCCCTGGTTTCCAACCTCTGCTCCCAGAAAAGCGGAGTAGGGGGAGAATGGGGTATTTGCGTCCACTGGGAGGCCCGGGGGTCAGCGGGAGGAGGTGACCCTGAGTCTGTCTGCATGTCGCCAGGCGCCCCAACCAAATGGAGTTTTCGAAGCCCCTTTACAGTTGTTT